TTAGAGAAAGGGACCTTAGTCACCATGTTTATTTTTTAATTTTATTTTATTATTATTATTATTGGACAGGCAGTCTTGCTTTGTCACCCAGGCTGGAGAGCAATGGCACGATCTCGGCTAACTGCAACTTCCACCTCCCGGGTTCAAACGATTCCTCCACCTCAGCCTCCTGAGTAGGTGGGATTACAGGCACCCACCATCATGCCTGGCTAATTTTTGTATTTGTGTAGACAGGATTTCCCCATGTTGGCCAGGCTGGTCTTGAACTTCTAACCTCAGATGATCCGCCCGCCTCGACCTTCCAAAGTGCTGAGATTACAGGTGTGAGCCACCATGTCTGGCCCTTCGTCACCATTTAAGAAAACTTCTTTAGGTTGTATATTCTCCTCAAAGGCAGGGAAGCCGAAAAAGCCTGTAACCAAAACAACAAGCTGGGAGCACAAAGAGATAGGTCTTCTGTGATTTGAAACCAAAGGAAGCAGAAGAGAAAAAGCATAGGTCTGAAAGCAGGTACTGAAAAATGGAAAGAAACTAGATAACCAAGGCATCCTGTCTGAGAAAGTTCCCAAATGTTAGTACACCAAATTTCTGTTCCAACTCCCAAACTAGGTGCCTTGATACAGATGCCCTAACAGCTGAAAGCAACACTGAATTAGCAATTAAACCCTTAAAAACGTGCTTTCTTCCAAATGGAACTTCTGGGGGAAATGAAAATGTCTGCTTTTGTGGAGGTTACAAACCAGTTTTTTTTTTTTTTTCTTCCAAGTCCACTCTCTCCTCCCGACATGTACCTGACCCAATTGCAAAGCAGGATGACAATGAAACATGAATTCCTCATGTGCTTGGATTTTCAAAATGGGTTCTTCCTCTGTATGTGCTCTGACCCTGGAGCCTGGGTTTTGTTCCCAACCAGGGAAGCACTGAGATGGATAAAAGCGCTGGGGACGCTGCAAATTGAAAGCCACAGAGTTGGCCTTTGGTTCTTTTTTCTCAAGCAAGGGCTATTCTAAAAAGCAGACATCAAAAGGAAAATTCAGCCTGAGATGAGCTGAAATTGGACAAAATGTGATGAGGCATAAATGAAACAAAAAAAGAAAGGAAAAAGGGCCTTTCTGTACCAGAAGAGGCTCTTTTCTGAAAGCTGTCTCAAATTACAGTGCTTTCCACATTTGGTTCACACCAGGAAGGGTCGTATCATACCTAGCATGAAAAAGCGTTTTGCTACATTATGAGGAGAATTTAAGACAGATGCAAATGGCCCAGAGTTTGGTGGTTTGGCAGTCACAAGGAGGAAAGAAATGTGTGACTCCAAGGAGAGACACTCTATACTCATTTGGTTCCCTCAGCCCAGAAAGACAAAGGAGAGTTTATTGAGAGTGATATACTAAGAAGGGGCACACAAGCAAATCTGTGATGGAGCAAAGTGTTGATGGTTTGAAGGAAGACATGCATTACCTTTTCTTAAAGGTGTTCAATGAATTTCCTTTATTATTCATTATATTGACCAACCAGCCTCTAAGGACTTTGGGCAACCCAATGGAAGGCTCTCAAAGGCCTATGAGTTTAGCTTTTGGGCTTATGATGGTTTTAATTAGCCACTTGCCAGCTGTTTTCTTCACCACAGGGAGAAAATAGCCATTCTGATGTGGGACTCCTGAAGTGTGTCCTACTGAAAGCCAAGTGGAGAACTGAGCTATGTCATCCTCTCCACCCAGTCATGTACCTACCACAAAAATCCAGCCCTCCGTCCCAGGTTTACACATGGAAAACCACTGCTTTTCCATCTTCTCCAGGGGTCTACAGATATTTCCTCCTTGCATGTCATTAGATGGGTCTTCCTGTTGAATGCCTTTGAATTTTACTAAGATGATCCATTAGGACAGAGGTCCCCAAGACCAAAGCCACAGAATGGTACCGATTCCATGTTCTATTAGGAACCATGCCGCACAGGAGATGAATCATGGATGAGTAAGCATCACTGCTTCAGCTCCACCTCCTGTCAGATCAGTGACAGCATTAAATTCTCATAGGAGCACAAATCCCATTGTGAACTGCACATGAGAGAGGTCAAGGTTGCATGCTCTGGATCTAGGTTGAATGCTCCTTATGAGAATCTAATGCCTGATGATCTGAAGTGGAACAGTTTCATCCCGAAACTATCCTCCCCCACCCCCTGGCTCAGTCCATGGAAAAGTTATCTTTCACAAAACCTGTCCCTGCTGCCAAAAAGGTTAGAGACTGCTGCAGTAGGCTGTATGCCCTTTAATCCAGTCTTATGAAAGATTCCATTCTATTCTGAGCAGCAGAAACCCCCCGAGAGCCACAGTGAAAAGGCAAATAACATTAGGCACCAGGTATTCAAGGTACTATGCAATTAATAGCTGAGGCAGGGCTCCAAATCAAATGATCTAAAGGTCCTTATATCTCTATAAGAACTACATAGAACTACTACTACTACTACTAATATTAACAACAACAACGACAACATTTATCAAACCACAAGCTTATCAATTAAATGCTAAATGGTATAGAAAACTCTAAATGGTATTTTAACACACTAGCAGAGTGATTTTAGCAAATTGCATAATCAAGAAATACCCACGGAGCAGTCAGTTATGTTCTACACTCTGTACAGCTGTGGAATCCCAGAATAATGAACAGCCATCTGTTATGTCTAAATTCCATAAGCAGCACCATGGGTAAGCTGTACTCCCTTAGCTCCTCCTCCAGGCCCAGCAAAAATGATCCAAATCTAAATTACAGAAGGTATGTTCTGCATTACTTCACTCTCCTATTTCCCTCTATATATCACCAGTAGTGACCGTGATCAAATTATTTGAGACTGCCACAAATAATCCCCAGGATAAGTTATTCCAATGCATTCAGAGATTATTTATAGAAATGTATACTTACGGAAGAAAATACCATGGGCTGGGAGTCAGAAGCCCTAAGTTCTAATTCCAAAACAGCTGCTAACTATGGACTTGGACAAAAACTTGGCCCCTCTAAATCTCAGAGTCCACATCTGTAAAAGAGGGTGGGAATCCCTGGACAAGATCATTCATTCACCGGCCATATCATTATTAAGAACCTACTACTTGCCAGATACTATACTAAATGCTAGGGGCATTACAGTGAGTAACATAGACATGGTCTTTGCTTCTGTGGAGTATTCAGTCTGGCAGGAAGGAAGATAAATGACATAAAGCATACAAATCACTCTATAATAAAAACTGTGATCAGAGTTTTGAGAGCTGTAACACAAAATACCGGTGAGAAGGGGTGGGCAGGAGAAGAACGCTCCAGGCAGAAGGAAGAGCATAACTAAAGCCTTAAATGGCCCAGAGGTTACAAAGATGTGTTCTGGGAACTTGAAGCAGTTCTTTTTGCCCTGGATAGTATAGAGTGCCAGAGGAAACATGGTAAGAAATGATACTGGAGAGATGAGCAGAAGTCAGATCACAGAAAGCCTAGGAGGCCTAGAAAAGTTTGAATTGTTCCCTCCAACAATAAATCCCTATGATGCTGCTCAGAGAATGAAGCTGGGATGTATGCCTAGGATCACGGGTTTGAACTCTGAGGCTTTACCCATCAAAAATACTTTTAGGCATTCTGGTAAGGAGCTGTAGGGTTGTACTTTACTCCACTTCACATTAAATAGGCTTTTGCTAGCTGGTCTGGGAACCTGAACCACAAGAAGAAAATTGTGTCCTTGGGAAAGTGCAATCTGAATTCTAAATAGATTTCCAAAGAAACTTTTGGAACAAAATCCATTCAACGCTTGTTGGGGAATATCGGGAAAGCAATGAAACACAGGACCCTGCTTTACTCCATAGAGACAGTGTTTGAAAAAAGACTGAACACTATAACCAGACCAGAGACTATAGAGCCAGATTCTTAAAATAAACACAATATCCTCATTTTGATTAGTAGGGTTATATATAGGCACAACCACTGAATGACATTATGCAGTTCCTATTATATATTTAAATTACCACAAAACCCTAAATATGTTGGGATGACTAGCTATTTTCACTCTAAAGAAAGACAATGCAGAAACGGAGAAGGTGGTCTCTTTAGAAGGAAACACGGACGTGAGTCAATTCTGTAACTAAACACAATCTTCCTGTGTCTCTGCCCAATCAACTCTAAATTATTCAGGCATTAATTCAACAAATATTTGCGTGTTAAGTGTCATCCAATTTAGCAGGCTGGCATCTCCATTTTTCTTCACTTTCCTTTCAATAGAGAGCCTTTAACTATCTACAATTAGAAAAATACCTTCTGACACCTTGAATGCCCCACTTTCCTCTCCTCAGCCACTCACTTGCTCTACAAATAGTGAGTGAAAGAGAAATGTTGGTAATTTCCCAGAGCTACCCTCCAAATCCCCTCAGGCCATTTTACAGAGTAGTCTTTTATAAAGTTGAGCGCACATAAATACCACCTGGAGGTGGGTGAGTTAAAATTCATATTTCTGAGCTAATTCTGTCCCCTACCCCAATATCTGGACTCAACAGGTCTAGGATAGGACCCAGGAATTAGCATTTTTTCCTTCAACACATTCAAGGTAGAAGGAATCCACATTTTTAATAAGCACACATGGTGACTCTGATGCAAGCAGGTCAGGAACCACACCCTGAGAAATCCCACTGTGGATATTTTAGCTTGCTTAGTACCAAATCCTGAACAAAGAATGGTTGCTAGGGGTCCAACCTTAAACTCAGCCAACAAGAAAGCTAGGTGGCACCGATAAATAGTGGGTACAATAGATGGGGGAGGAAAATGGCATCCTAGTTAACTGCCCCCAACTCTATTTTAGCTTTTTAAAAGATCTCATATTTTGACTTAAATCAAGCAAATGGCATTGCTGTTCTAGCAATCTCCTAGTGACACCGGATAAGAAACTCAAACAGGCAGCATAAAGGAAGGCATACAAATAAGAGAACAAACAATGTTAATTTGGTTGGCCCCATCCCAACTTTTTCCAGCCTCCTTACCTCTCCTGCTAGTTGTTTCCATTTCTGTGACTGGATGCTGCTGTGGCAGGGAAGAGAGGTCAGGGTGGGGCAGTCTTCTATCATTCGCATTAATGCTTTCCTCTATTATATGAATAATCAAGAGTTGACTGGAAAGAGGAATAAGCAAAAGGCAAATACTCTACTGAGAGGTTAAATAGGATAAAGAAGGACCCCTGTTGGTTGAGAGCTCTGAAGTGATAAATGAACAGTCAGGATCCCTGCCTCTTTTCATTCTCACTGTTTGCCAGGAACAGGGATTCAAAGCCCATAACGTCAGCACTGAGCTTGAGAGAAATAATCAGGTATCTGTGTTTTTCCACTGTTCCCCGTAATACCTAGAATAGTCAGCACTTCATGTTAACCTTAAATGTCAACCAACTGTTGTTGACTCAACCCAGAAGTCTATTGTAAAGGTAGGGGCCTAGATCTGGTCTGATAATTTCCACTGTGAGAAAACAGAGCCTCATTCAAGCTGGCTCAAGAAAAGGGAGGTTTGTGGAAAGAATACAGGTATCCCATTCGAATCCTAGGGTAGGATAAAGCTGGGCCTCAAGAGAACTGGAAGGTGGTTCTGGTTTCATGGTGTCTGTAGGAAACAGTTCTTCCATCTCTCAGGGCATCTCTTTTCCTCCCTTGCAAGGTCCCTCTGTATGTTCATGGTTTCTGTCCCTTCACCACACTAGCTAGGACATTGACTGCCATGACTGCTCCACTCCCCATCTTCTTTTGGCTATTTTCACAGTTGCAAAATGCCTTAGACTCTCAGCTTCCCAATTCTAATTTCCTAGGAGAGGAATATGAAAGACCTAGCTCTCAGCTCATCAAGCCCATGTTACCTGCTAGGTGACAGATGGGCTGTCTTGGTGACAGGTGGCCACTCTTAGTCCAATCAACCTAAGCCAGGGAAGCAGGGTCTCTGGCACAGTTCATGGCCACTGGCAGCTAGCACAGCTGGCATAGAGTGGTTTGCCTGGGATATGGACCAAAAGGCATAGTAAAATACATATGATATAAGCCTGATCTTTAGCATGTAATTTGAAAGATAATGACATGTCCATTCATGAGCTTCACATACCCATAATCTTTCTTACAAAGGATATTACCTGACCTCAACCCTAAAAACTTAGCCCCCTTCACCCCCATTAAATTAACTTCTTTAAACTGCTAAAAGAATCTAAATACGTCATATTACAGAGGAATCACCATTCTGCCAGCTCCCTGGGGTAAAGAGGGAAGGGGAAGAGAGTATAAAGCAGACAAATCCTGATAAACTGATATCATTGGCCTTTAGCCCATCTCTCTGCAAGCATTCAGTCAGTTTGCTTTACACCCTGTGATCATCTTAGCCTCCTCTAAGTTTCTCCAAGTGCCATGGGAGGTCAGCGTTCAATGTTAACTAGAACAAGGCAAGCAGCATCACAAACCAACAGATGGCAATTGAGAGCTTATCATTCTTGGATTATTTCATTCCCTGGAGTGATACATGCCAGAGAGTAAAGCAAGCTATTTTGACAGCAACCTAACAACAGCTGTCTTCTTCCACTTCTCGGCTAACTCATCCCCTAGATAACCTTCTTTTCTCTCATCAATTCCCTGTTGCAACAATAATAAATGCCACACCTGATAGATTCATTAAGCACTTTCCTAGTGACAAGTACCTAGGACAGAGGAGAAAACAAAGAAACTGGCCACCACTGAAAATTGACCTATCGGGCCAGGCATGTCGGCTCACGCCTGTAAGTCCAGCACTTTGGGAGGCCAAGGCAAGAGGATCATGTGAGCCCAGGAATTCGAGAATGGCCTGGGCAATATATTGAGACCCCCATCTGTAGAAAAAAGTTTAAAAATAATAATAATAAAGCCAGGAATGGTGGCAGCCCCAACTATCCAGCAGGCTGTGGTGGGAGGATTGCTTCAGCCCAGGACTTTAAGGTTGCAGTGAGCTATGATAGCACCACTGCACTCCAGCCTGGGTGACAGAGCAAGACTGTCTCAAAACCAAACAACAATAACAAAAAACCTGACAGATGTCACAGCAAGAAAACATGGTGGTAGCCATCTCTCAAGGAACAGATGAAGAGAAATTAAACGGTTGTTATTTCCTGGAAAACAATGTTTCCCAAACACAAAGCAGGGCCTACTGGAGATTAAGAAAGAGATTCCAAATAGGGTTTCAAAGACCAGAGCTGTAAAGCCCTAAAGACATGTGAAGGAATTTGATATGTAGTTGATATGTAGTCTTATCTCTCAATTATCCCCGACAAGCTTAGTTTGAGTTTTCCTGTAACTGTTCCCAGTGTTCATGGATTTTCATCTTATTTCAGGTAAGTAAGTTAATGGTAGCCTCTGGGGGGAGAAAGTATGGTCCCTCTATTGTTGGTATCCAACAGTAGTTATCAACCTTTTTGTCCCATGTGCCACCTGTCATCACTTCTTCAAAATAGCCTTGAAAATCTCTTGCATTTCCTTCACACAAGGGATATTATGTAGCTGTTAAAAGTAATGAAGTAGAGCTATACACACTGGCATGGAAAATAGCCTAACTAAGTTATCAAGTGAAAAAAGTTTCAGATTATAAGGAATCAACTCATTTTTATTTTAAAAATGTGCAAAGAAAAAGCTCTGAAAGAATAAGCGCTGGTTGTTAATAATGATTATCTCTAGCAGATGGGTTTATGGGGGACTTTCACTTTCTATTTTTGACATTTCTCACTTGCTTAAATTTGTCTTACAACGCATGCTTTTTTGCAACCAGGAAAGGGATATTTTTAACCCCTTACAGTTTGTGGATGGGTAGTACTACCACAGCTTTAGTTTTCCATTCCAGTTTAAACAGGTTTTACAGAGGCTGGAGGGTATAGTGTAACAAAGAAGCATCCCTGGGGTTAGAAGAAAGTAGTCTACTCTGTTTACAGTAGTCACCACTCAGTAAGTAAATTCCACTAATGGGATAGAAGACAGTGTGGTACAGAGGTCAGACACATGGGCTCTAGTCCTAGCCTATTAACTTATTCTACATTTCCTTCTCTATTTACTAATAATATCTATTAATACTTAGAACACATCTATCATATGACATGCTCAACAAATAACTATTCTTATTTTTATTGAAGAAGCCAATGTGTTGTAATTGAAAATTATTTTCATTTACTTTTAGTTATGTCTAATTTAATTTAAATAGTTTCAGTATAGACACTGTGATAAATGTCTCTGTGTTAGTTTTATTCCACACCATAGGGTGTTAACATTCGGTTGCATGCTGGGAGCCCAAGGACACTGGCTAGAAACAGTTGATTGTGTACATCTCTACCCAACTCCTTTGTAACCTTAGTTAGGGGCCAGATTGGTAGCTTGAAATTGACCATGGAAATTGACAAATGCCATAAATCAGAGCTTTAAACATTTACCACACACTGCTGTTAACATCTGAAGACCCCTAACTGAGAATACAAACTCCAGGGGTGATATTAATCAGCAACTGAAATTTCTAATCAAAGCCTACAATCAAGAAATCCTGCAACTCAGCAACAAAAACAAACAACCCAGTTTTTTTAAAAAAAAAAATGGGCAAAGAACTTGAACAAACATTTCTCCAAAAAAGATAAACAAATGGCTAATAAACACATGAAATAATGTTCAACATCACTAGTCGTCAGGAAAAATGCAAAACAAGACCACAATGATATACTACTTCATATTGTTAGGATGGCTATAATTTGTAAAATAGAAAATAACAAGTGCTGGTGAGGATATGTAGAAATTGGAACACTTGTACATTACTGGTGGGAATGTAAAGTGGCCAGTTGCTGTGGAAAACAGTTTGGCAGTTCCTCAAAAAGCTAAACATAGAATTATCATATGACCCAGCAATTCCACTCTTAGGTATATACATACCCAAAAGAACTGAAAACAAGGACTCAAACAAATACTTGTATGTCAACATTCATTTCAGCATTATTCACAATAGCCAAAAGGTAGAAACAACCCAAATGTCCACTGACGGATAAATAAAATGTAGTATATACATACAATGTAATATTACTCAGCCTTAAAAAAGGAACAAAGTTCTGATACATGCTACAACCTTGAAAACATTTTGCTAAGTAAAACAAGCCAGACAAATAACGAAAAATATTGTATGATTCCACTTATAATAGGTTCCTAGAATAGGCACATTTATAGAGACAGAAAAGTATAACAGTTGTTACCAGGGGCTGGGGGAGGTAAGAATTGGAAGTTATTGCTTAATGTGTACAGAGCTGCTGTTTGGTGTGATTAAAAAAAAAAAAAAAAAAAAAAAACTGTTGGAAATAGGAGCAGAGGTTGCATAACATTCCAAATGAAATTAATGCTACTGAAGTGCACACTTAAATACGCTTAAAATGGTATATCTTGTATATGTATATCTTTAACCACAATTTAAAAAAAATGTAGTATACAAAAACCACTGAATTATACACTTTAAGTCGGTGAATTGTATGGTATATGAATTGTATCTCAGTAAAGCTGCTCTTAAAAAAATCCCACAATCAAGCTATAGGGGAATCTTTGGGGATGATGAAAATATTCTCTATCTTGACTGGGGTGTTCATACAACTGTATTCATTTGTCAAAATTCACAGAATTGTATCATTAAAAGGTAAATTTTACTCTATGTTAAACATAACTTAACTGTTTTCTAATGCGAAAAAAGCCACACTACATGCTTCACTTCTGATCGTTTGTTCATTACAACAATTGATACTAGAAATATTTCATTAGGGAAACTTCCTAGTGTTCAAGATAGATAGATCACTTAGAAATATTCAGTTGCTCCCACTTTTGCATGAATTGGATATAAGACTCTGGTTAGCCTAACATCCTTCACCCCTTTAAAATGACACCCTAGGCTCAGGAGTCCCAACATAAGTGTCCAGAAACTTAATGGAGGACTCAGATGTGCCCTCTAATGAGAAAGTAAGCCAAATCCTACTGCTAAAATATTGTCACATCTATCTCCGGTGAACCTTTCACACAATATGGTG